ATATTAGGCTGAGAGGTCCAGTAGTTTGTGAGATTAGCTGCAGACAGATACACACACATACACGACCAAACGCATGACCCCATCCATGGTGCTGTTTAATGATACTTTCTTCAATATGCTTCATGTTTCTTTGTTAATTAGCTTTTATATCTCCTGCAATGCTATTCTTGTTGTCTTTATCTTCGGCTTTGTTATAATTACAGTGATCAAGGATACAAATAATTTAAGTGCCTTAAAGAATAATAAACAGACAAATAAAAAGACATTTAAAGAAGAAACACAAAATACAGAGATGATAAATAATGACAGCAAAAACATTCTTTTATTTTCACTTTAAATTTTCATCAAATTATAGTAATCAAAATCCAAAAAGTCCTTTTACAAATACAGGATAGCTGTGTTCATACAAATCAACACTGTTACATAAATACACCAGACACACAGTTTATATTTATCAACAAAAACACAGAGGTTTGAAATACATAATCATAAGACTACAAGGGTAAAATTACATACATATGTTATGGTCAATTATAATTTCCGTAATTTTTATGTATGTGTGTGTATGTTTTACGCGGGATTTTTAGTACATGTGTATATATGTTTGTGTGTTGTCTAAATTATTGTCCATGTCTCATCTAGGGCCGAGTTTTAAGGGGGACTTGGGAGATGAGAGGTTCTTCTTGCCATTGTGGGGCTTCACTTTCAGGTTTTGTTTTGGTGCCGTTTTCAAGTAAAAATCAAGCTGTTGGGGAAGAGATGAAGAACAAGATGTGAGTGATCAAGGCAAAGTGCATTTCGGTCTATAATGACATACAAGGAAGTCTTGTCTAGGGATCTCTAAAAGCATATTTGGACAACTCACTATCTGCCTTTTCCACAAAACAAAGGTAAGTTGGTGGGTAAAACTGTACTTGTATGCGCCCATAGATGCCCCGTCTAGATACATAGAAACATACCTGTATGGCCTCAGCTGGTCCCACTGTGACTGTGCTCACGAAGGGGAGGTAACCTGGAGCAGATGCTGTCATAGTGTAGGTACCTGGTAACAGGAGTCTGAAATAGTCGCCATCCACTCCTGGAGGTGAGCACAAATGGGAAAAGATGATGGGTGCAAACGCCCAACTAGTCTATTTAAAATTGTAATTTACACAGTGGTGGAAGAAGAAGTAATCAGATCATTTATTTAATTAAGTAGAAACACTTCATTACAAGTTAAAGCATTCAAACCTGTATGACATCAAGTTAAAGTAGCTAAGTATTATCAGCAGAATTTAGTGGGAAAGTGGACTATGTAACTTTGGAAAGTAGGAATGACACCATTTTTAAATTACAAATGAAAATTTGAATTAAAAATCAATAAAACGCAGCTTTACTAAAGTCAATATTCTCAGAAGTTTTACTCTTTCAGCTTTATTTGGTCTAGTATGACCAGTAGCGTGTGGTGGCGATATAATGTTAGTGAATGTTAGCTAACTTATATGTATATTGCTGTGTAACTGACATTACTGATTCAGTTTGCTTCTGTTATGATTCTATCCCACTTGTGCTTCTCTTTCAATAGGCATTAGCATGAATCATAATGGTGTAATTGTCACATAAGGGAAACAATGGCGCTGTTCAGCAAAAGTTATATACTGTTGTTTTAAAGTATAAACGAAAAAATAATAATAATAAAAAATGGTGGTACACGGCAGTGATTAGTGAAGTGTGTAGCGCCATACAGTGCCATACACCCCAGATTCAGAGATGGAATTTAACCACAGCCTGCCACAACAGGTGAAGGCAGGTCAAGACTACCTGTTGGAAACTGATTTTTTTTATTTAAAGCACAACACTACTGACTCACTACCGCCACGCAGAAACAGAGTGTTATATTCGAGTTATATTGTTAAAGATATTATGCTATTGGATAATTATTACCGATGAATTAACATGTGAACATTTTAATGCTGGTGGACCTGATTTTAGCTATTTTATATACTGTTAGGTGGTTTAATTTACTGTACAATACTAATCAGATGTGTTCATTACAAGTTTTTAAAAGTATAATGCTAAAGTAAATTACAAGTACCACAGAATTGAACTTGAGTAAATTTAAATACAGTGCACATACAGTTTGCATTTTTTTCAAAGTGAATGTCCACCATTGGCCACTAGAGGACAGCTTGCTCCATTCCTGTGTGAGGCACTTATTTCCTTATTTACAATACAGTAAAACTCAGCTATTATGAAAAACAACAGACTCTTTTTTCCTGTTGAAAGTTGGACCGCTTTCCAAGAAGCACAAAGTCACTGCTTATTTTGACTCCACTTTCTTTCTGTGATTAAGATTTTTACAACAAGGTTTGAACAACTGTATTCTCCTGCATCACCAGCCCAGACATTAACAGATCATTTATCACATACCTCACAACACTGCAGTTAAAGAGTAAAAATGTCCAAGGAAATAATAACCACGTATAATACACCGTATACACCCCCTCCAACCCTTTCTTACCGCTGGTCACATCGTGGTTGATGCCTGCCACAGAGATCTCAGCGTTGCTGATAGGGTTGTTGTTTTCGTCATACACCATGCCTTTTACGCCATGATGCACCTGAACAAGGAGAAACACATGTACATTGCTTTTGTTCTTGATTAATCATACTTGTTTTATTAATTTGACCAATTTCTAACTATAATTTCTTTTATAGATCATGCCATTTGTGCTTGAGCTTGTGCCACTAAAAAATACAAATGTGAAATATGTGTTAATACAGGCAAATGAGGTATGTGTGAGCAAATATAGATTTGTGTTTGATTGCTGCATTGATTGCAAGTTTTATGAGGTAATGTAAAAAACTGAACAACTGAACTTCTGAATAGACTTTCCAAAACATTAGATCTTATTAACCTTCTTTGGCACTGTGGTCTGCAATAGACATACAGTAAAACAAGACCACAAAAGAATCTGAAGGCTCTTTCAGTTTGGTCTATTTGATCAGCGCAGCAGAAAAAGGTATGCATTTCTGAGTCCTCCCTTAGGGCTTAAGAAACACTATTAGTGGCAATGCATCACTGTGCTTTATCTCAGCACTCTGACAATCTGATATAAAAGACTTTTGTCCCCAAACCAAGCCTCTTGTCATTGCTTGACAGAAAGTAAAAGTCAGTTTACTTGAATTTCACACAGCTCATTTTATCACGTCACTTTATCCAGGGAATCCCAGACAATATTTACAAGAAGCCAGTGTACTGGACTCATGACTCTTAGTTGTAACTATATATCAGTGTGTTTGTGTCCATCAAGTTGTAAACGATTACAGTCATTTGCCATTTAATGGGTGTGTATATGTGTTTTCTGACCTGTTCAAGGTATGAAACCAGTGCTTCTCGGTTGCCAAGCCATTCTCTGGGTAGTGCTGAAGCTGGAGGAAACTTATCACAGCTCAGCTCCAGGGTGATCTCAAAACAGTTGCTGTAAAGGTAGTTGAAGTCCTGCATTCCTGAAACACGCAGAAATACTCTTTACTTTAGATATTAAGGGAAGAGCTCTAAAACGGTACATCTTTTTCATATCAGTGGTTCCCAGCGTGGTTTATAGAGCGGTTTACATGGAGTCATAGTTTGCCTCTTTGATTTGTAAGGAGTTAATGTGATTTATCTTCGGTCTGTCTAAAATCAACTGTCACACATTTTTGGTCATTGAGATAATGGAGTGAAAAACTTTGACAATTTCTTTTTATATATGGTGATGAAGATTTTTCCAAACCATTGCATTTTGCTATTTTGACTTTTAGATGGACTGATATACTACTTTCAATAGAAGCCTAATGCATATGAGCCAAGGGTTGGGAGGGAAAGTTCAAATATAACCTCATAGACCATGACATAACACTTGGTGCAAAAGGAGTTGTTAAAATAAACATAACGTTCTCCTACAAAATGTGACTGTGGGCGTTTTCATCCAATTCAAAAGCTTGCATGACTCAACCGAAATGCTGAACAGAGTCACATTCCAAAGAATAATACACACCAGCCTAGACCAGGATTTATAGATCAAATAAGTGGGTATTATTATTATTGTTGTTGTAGTTACAGATTAAGTGAGCTGAAATCAAATACATGCTCAGACAGTTTAAAGAACTCGGTGTACTGTAGCTTCCAAGCATTCCACAGCAAAACGTTACTGCAAGAACCAATCAAATCTTAAAACTGAGCACAAGTTTCCCAAGGCATAAAGCAAACGAGGGAGAGTGAAGACTTAAAACTCATTTAACTCTTGATGGCCAGCAGGTGGCCAGTGCCAGTAAATAATAAACCAAACCCTAATAGCAGCCCCACTAAGCTCTCTGGTGACATCCATGGTACCGAAAAATCAAAAATAAACCTCAAATATTCACAGATTTTATTGGAGAAATTGGAGGAGAATCTGACATGGTTAACTGTGATGTACTGGCACTAGAGAGTCACACATCAAGGTAGAGGCAGTGGCATTCAAAAAGGATGGATGATAA